AAAAGCTCCAGCACACTGTTGCCCATTGTCATGGTTAAACATAACAATTCTTTGAATTGTGCAAAACGTGTCCTGACTAGAGTAAATAAAAGAGTCATCAGACTTGATGTTGTCATTTGCATTGTAGGATTTGAATCGAGTGCTGCCAATCAGACACCCCTTAAATTCTTGAACTTGCTGGGCATTATTAAAGCCCTCTCGAAGAAGTATTTCTTGTTCAGCATGGGTCAGGTTGTAGGTCACACCTTTACCAACTAGGTACATGCCAGGAGCAAATTCAGTTACACGCTGAAGTTTTTCCTTATTTAAAATCTCATCAAGTCTTTCTCTTACACTTTCTGAGATTCTATTGTCAAACTGGGCAGCTGACACTGTAAGACCAAGTAGACTCCTAGTGACCAGCTGTACGACAGCCCCCTTGGGGGATGTCACCATTTTGGCAATTTTACTGTTTAGAGATTCAAAGTTATAGGTGGAGTAAGCATAAGACGGTCCAAGTTTTCTCACACTATTAACTTTGTGTGAAGTTGTGACGTGAAAGTTGAACTTGATCTTCTCAATTCCAAACAGTTCTTCAAATTGGGTGGCAGCTCTTTGCATTAAATTTTCAGCAGTTTCAAGGTGAGCTGGCTCAATAACATCTTGCGTCAATAGGTAGCAAGCATGAGATATACAGGCAAAGACATTCAAATATCTTGGCTCAACTAGTCCTACCATGCAAGGCACACCGAAGAAGAACAACCAGTTCCGCCACTCAGAGCCAGACCAATTTCCACATTTTTGAATAGAGCGAACCTTTCTTGATATTTTACTAGGTGTCTTAATGTTGAGTAATCTGCCATCAATGGCTCTCAGAAGGTCTATATTGGCCATATTTACTGGTATTCTTGGTACAGCAGTCAGCAGTAGGTCAGTCAGATCTTGCGCAACTCCTTCATGATCCTGGTGAAGATCATCCACAGCCTGACCTTCCCTCAAGTCATGGTGCCTCAGGAGCATCATTTGTGAAGCACCCTTATGGCCAAAATGGTTCACTGGCCGTTCAGGGTTTCTATCCTGAAGGATCTGTGCTTCTTCCATCCTGTCACGCATTTCCTGATCAGATCGCTCTTGGAAAGGAGGTAATCCTTCTAGGTTTACGGTAGGGTACCTTGTGCTACCCCCAGCACGTATTCCCCTGTGGGTACAGTATGTACAACCATACACACTATCCCATTTTGCCATATGGTACATTGCACAGCGCACAGGAGAATCCACACATTCTATAAGGGGAATGATCTTGCTGTTAACTTCGAGTACACCATCAGGTTTCCACTGCACACCTCTAGTTGAAAGACTGTTGAGTTGTTTCACTAGGGGCTTTAAATAGGCTTGATAGTTAGGCTCAGTGTTGTCAACATAAACAGCAGCAAGAAGATGAAACTTTTGCCGCATGTTAGGTGGAAGCTCATTTATACGCAAAAGAACTGGCACAACTTTCAGAGACCCTCGCTTGGTGGGATTAATGGCATCCATGTTGAATGTTAAAGAAAAGTTGTAGCGACTTTCCAGCACCTCTCCTGGTCTCTTCAGTCTTTGATATTCGGACCCATCATAAATATCTTCAATTGCTGTGGCGCTGGCTTTCTGTCTTGTGTAGGGATATTGAAGGTGCTCCCATATACCAGGAATGCTCAGCAAGTACTTGATCTGGCTTCTCAAATCAAGTGAGACAAACCATTTTGCTTTGGATTTAGCAATTGTATAGTTGCAATCACATCGGACAACATCACCTAGTCTATCCTTCAATCCTAGGTATTGTCCACATTTCTTCCTTCCACAGTAAATATGTTGTTGCACTCTTGTGGCATCCAGCTTAATGTCAGACCATAACTTTGTTTTGGATTCTGGCAAAAAGTGGGGCCCTAGAAACATATTCATGTTTTTGAATGAGTCAATAATTCTACTAAAAGTATTCTTGTGCCTAGTTGCATTCGCTATTTCCATCAGAATGATTTCTCCACGAGAGCAGTTGTTCACAACATTGATTGCATTATTGACTCCATCATGAACAAAGTTTGCAGCATCTGGAGCATCAGCATCGTCTTCAGATTCTGAATCATTATTATCATTGTTGTTTTCATTCCAATGGGGATCGTCGGGGTCATCAGGATCGACCTCAGGAATTCTCTCATCTTGAAGTGGTGCATTGGCTGGTATCACACAGTCTTCAGGTTCCTCTTCTAAGCGATGCATTTCAAAAGAGTCAAAACACTCAGATGAGAAAGATTCCTCAGAAGAATATCTATCATACTCCTCTGGCTCAGAGACATCTCCTTCAATTCCCTGAAATAAAAAACAACAACAAAAAAACAATTAGCATTTCGAATCAACGGGAAAGCATTACTTGTTATACAATAATGCAACTTTAAAATGTGACAAGTGACAGGAAGCTTACATTTGATATGGAAGTGATCAAGCGAGAACTTGCAGCTGTGTCTGAGTCGTGGTCCAGGACCTTAATAGTGTCCTGTTCCTGGCCAGGCCAGAAATCATCTGCTGACCTTTCCATTGCCTCTCAAAACTATCAGACAAGTCAGATGAAGAAAGTGCGTCCTGCTCTTTCTCTTGCTGCCACAAGTCACCTTCAAAACCCTGTAAGTTGTAATAGTACAGCATTCAGTACATGCCAAAGTAGCAAGCATAACAACTCATGAGATATGACAGAAGAAACAAGTCTCACATACCTTGTCTGCTTCCTGATGTGTTGAACCACCATCCGGCCCTGCGGTCTCTTTAACCACTTTGATCTGTTGTTGGACAAAACAAATACAATTCAATACAATTCATAATCACTACTTGTAGAACACATTTTTATAGAGTTAGCCAAATATATACCCTTTTGATTTCTTTATCTGAACTTGGCTCGTAATCATCCAATTCGTCCAAGCATCTCTCAAAACTATCAGACAAGTCAGATGAAGAAAGTGCGTCCTGCTCTTTCTCTCGCTGCCACAAGTCACCTTCAAAACCCTGTAAGTTGTAATAGTACAGCATTCAGTACATGCCAAAGTAGCAAGCATAACAACTCATGAGATATGACAGAAGAAACAAGTCTCACAAACCTTGTCTGCTTCCTGATGTGTTGAACCACCATCTGGCCCTGCGGTCTCTTTAACCACTTTGATCTGTTGTTGGACAAAACAAATACAATTCAATGCAATTCATAATCACTACTTGTAGAACACATTTTTATAGAGTTAGCCAAATATATACCCTTTTGATTTCTTTATCTGAACTTGGCTCGTAATCAGAATCTTCCTGTTTTCTCCGCCAGAGTGATGAGCGACTTTTCCTTGTATATTTCACTTGGCGCTTCATTTTCCTAAAACAAGAAAAGAATCTAAATTAATACATAAGTATATTGATATAGAACAGTATCTCAGAGACCGGTAGCGGAAGATGTCCAAACAACAACAAACACATACGTTTACCTATACCGCAAGGCCAGAAATGTGCATACCACCCTCATGCGCGAACATTAAAACACTTCCAAGAAACCCCACTCTCTAAAATTTATGTCTTCACGTACGGGTAATTGCGTTCTTGATGCTTACTTTATAAAATAATTTAAACCCAGACGTACCTGCAGCCTCCATGGCGCGGACGAAAATAAACAAGATGGCCGAACTGCAGTCTGCTCGGTCTGCTGCTGGTCCTTCTTCTTTTATTCTTCTCCGGTAAATGGCTAGAAGATGAAGACGGCTGTGCATCTTACTTTCTCTCTCGCTCACTTGCCAACGCCAGTGTCCGCGCCTTCGCATTAGGATTAGCAACAGCTGACTTTGACAGTGCCTTGCCTACCCGGCCTACCCGTTGTTGTCCGCTACTTCGCCGGCTTCGCGAGATCCAGACTTTCTGGGTAAGTAAATCATTCCTGCCTTGTGAGGTTACTCGACAGTTACAGCAGTGAGATGGCCAACCATTTCAATATATTTAGAAAGATTTATCTTCATTAGTGTGTGTTGTGTCGGATTTCTAGAAGCTGCATCGTACCTTAACCTAGTCGGCACGTTCTGTTCTGCCAGTGTGACCAGTGTGATTTCACTATTAGCCCAGCCCCACGTTTAGATTTTAGGGTTCCATGAAAATTAGTAGTAGTACTTCATAACCTCTCTTCGTGTTTTTACAGTATAATGACAAAGAAGTCAGAAAGGAAGTCCTGTGACTACTGGGCCCTAGTCCAGGACTTGAGGGAAAAGGACAAGAAGCCCTACCTCTTGAAGGCCTTGGACCTCTTTAGCCTCAATGGGGCAAATGAGGCTAAGAGGTTCAAGCCTAAGCATGACAAGGACTTCACCAAAAACGAGTATGGTAGGCTCGTGACTGTAGAGGGAAAGGAATGCTTGGTGCGCCACACCATCTATGCTTTGAGCTGTAAGTTGTAGGTTCTCATATGTACTCAACTAATTCTCTTGGTTCCCTTTGTTGACTGACTTTTCTTTTATTTGGCAGCAAGTGCAAGTGATCTTAAGACCAGGTTCAAGGAGGAAAAAAGGGTTAAGAAAGTCGGAACAAGACTCTCCATTGGCCCGGTCTGTGAACCAGCAACTAACTATTCCTTTCCCGACCTAACTCGAAAGGCCAGACAGGACAAGGTAAGCCTTTAACTATCTATTCAGTGGCATGATGCAAGTGTGGCCTTGCGTTTAATTGTTCTCATTGTTCTTTGCTGTTGCCAGAGAGAAGAAAAAGAAAACATTCAAAAAGCAAAGGCCAAAGGTGGAAGTGACACTCTGAAGAGACAGGAAAGGCAGAAAGATGAAGAGAGGGAGAGGAAGAGGAATGAAGAGGAACAGTTGAAGAGACAGGAAAGGAAGAAAGAGGAGGAGACGGAGAAAGAGAGGAAGAGGAATGAAGAGGACCAGTTGAAGATACAAGAAGAGAGGAAGAGGAATGAAGAGGAACAGTTGAAGAGACAGGAAAGGAAGAAAGAGGAGGAGATGGAGAAAGAGAGGAAGAGGAATGAAGAGGAACAGTTGAAGATACAAGAAGAGAACAGGAAGAGGCAGGAGGAGGAAGAGGATGAGGAGGATGAGGAGAGGAGGAAGACAGAAGGTCAGATGGACTTGAATTCAAAGTTGGATTGTGTTCTAGCTGAGATAGCTGGCGTCAAGGCGATTGTTCTTAAATTAGGAGGTATATTGATTTGCAATTCAGTTCCAGTAATAATTTTCTCATAATCTAATTGACATTCTTATTTAAAGGTGCTGCAGAAGCTGGCAACGGGGATGATGATGATGATGATGAATGTGTAGTTGAGCGAAGAAAGAAGAGCAAACTTGGCGAGCTTCCCACCAATTTAATCGATGAAGAGGAGGTTGAATTTGGCAAGGTTGTCTGTCTGTCTGTCAGTGTGGTTGTGTGACATATAGAATCAAGGTACTGACTTTGTCTTAATTTTTGCAGGTTAAAGTTGGGAAGCAGCGGTATGTCTCCATGGAAAAATTAATTGTTGCTGAGAGGTCACCTTATTTTACTAATAGGGTCGAGACTCTCGCCCAAGATTTTTACGATGACGTGGGGAATTGTTCTGTGTCGAAGAGTAAAGGCCGTACTCTAATTGAAAATGCAGAAATTAAATCTATCTTCTGTGAGTAGTGCCATTGTTTAGCAGCCTTCTTTTCTTCTTGTAGATGGAAACTTAAATTCACGTGGCTAATACTACACTTTGTATTCTAGGCATTTTAAAGGCCATGAAGTGGTCCCATTCGGCCACACTCTCCCTGAAGAGAATCAGGGCTAGGCTGATTCGCTTCACGTCTGAAATGAGGAAGAATGGGAACAGCAGAAAACGCAAGCTGGAAATGTCAGCAGCAGATGGGAAACGCAGGAAGAACTCAGATGAAAGTAGTAGTAGTAGTAGTGAGGGAAGGAGTGAGACTGAGAATGGTAATGTTAATGGTGAAGGTACAGAAAATGGAAATGATATTGGCATTCTTGATAGTGTGGATGATGAAATTGAAGATGGTACTGGAAGTAAGGAAAAAGATTTAGAAGTTAGTGATGAGAGTGGGGGTGAGTGTTCCATTCATTTGGATGACTCAACTCTAAGTGTGTTTCAAAACTGTTAATATTTGTGGTGCTGATCACTTGTAAAACCAACTTGTAAAACTAATCCATACCCTGAGAATTATTATTTTAACTGGTGGTACTGTAGGAATTGATTGTTTCAAAGCATCAGGGTAGCAGGATGATAATGTACATAGATATATCTGTGATTTGTTCTGTTAAAGTGCATACCAGAAGCACTTATAGTTAGAATTTTCTTTTACCAAGCTTCTGTGCCACAAATACGTTAGATTATTTGAATTTTTAATCGCCCTTTCTGTTTTGATTTATCATACCATATAGATCATAATTAGAGAATTTAATAAAAGTGTTTAAATAAATAAAAATTGCACTTATTTACTGAAATTTTAATTTTGGATGTGTATATGGATTTCCAAGGGATCTAATATGGATTCGGAAATGGATTGGCAAAGGATTGATTCATGGATTATCTGGAGATCGAGTTTCGGATTGCCAAAGGATCGACCTTAGATCGACTCATGGATTGCCTAGGGATCGAGTTTGGATTTGCCTAGGGCCAAAAATCGGCGCTGAAAAAAAAAGACGGATTGGCAGAGGATTGAGTATGGATCCACCGGTGGATTGCCCAGGGATCATTTGTGGACGTCCATTTGGAATCCGAAATTGAAACAAATCGGATTCCATGGGGATCCGCACTGCTAGAAATCCTTCAATCCTCCCCAGATCCATCAGGGTATCGCTCTACAGAACAAGACATTTAAAAAATCCAAATCCATTGGGCGTTTATTCTTTATGTCAAACATTGTTTTGAGGTTGCACTTCAAATATGCAAATACACTTTACAAAGCATTTAATTTGGAAGTTATTAAACTGTATTTATTCTTAATAAGTTAAATTGTTAACCATTATGTTTTGTGCATCAATTAAATGTCCATATTAAAATCCATCAGTGCTGACTGCAGCATTAAATGTCTGCCGTATGACACCAAAATATTGGCATTCAACTTGGAATGCAAGGTCCCGTTGTTCCTTTCCTTGAGGTACTATTGAGAACAACAAACATTCGCATCCCTTTTTTGATCACCAATTCTTGGCGTTCTTTTCCTATTACATAATATGTTTGTTCTAATACGGGTCGAGGCTAAATTTCTGTGCCATATTAAGATTTAAATAAATTATGATAGTACTCATTCAATAGAAAATCATAGAGATGATGCTACCACATAATTTTATAGTAGTACTGCTCAGACCATGTGACTTGAAGTACGAGGCGAGCCCTCACAAATAACTAACAGACAATAAATAGAACTCGATAAAATTAACAGGACAACGGCACTGAAGATGGGAGGGTGAGGAGGTTTGTTTTACTTACAAGCCACTTTGAACTTGTTTTCAGAACTCAATGCAAGAACATTGATTCCATATCTTATTAGCCTAGGCTAATGTAGCCCAAGCACTTAACCTCACCCAATGCTCTCATTGTGTTTGGAGGCAGTAAATTTGCTTTAGTCTGATGTGTCTGTTCTGAAATCGACACGGATGACAATGAGCGTCGATCCGATCCCACTGTCACAGCTAAGAACACTTCAAAACACAAATAAATCTTAAATCACACTCGATGCAAGTTCTTGTCGCCATGTTTACTGTATATTGCCATCAACGACCCTGCGTATAATGGCGTTTGGCAATTTGCAGAACATAATACCTATCCACAGTATGAGGGGCAAGAAATCAAGAAAAAGAAATCAAGCAGACGCCGCCAGACGCAAATTGTTCAGTAAACATAGCGACAAGAACTTGCATCGAGTGTGATTTAAGATTTATTTGTATTTTGAAGTGTTCTTAGCTGTGACAGTGGGATGGGGTCGACGCTCATTGTCATCCGTGTCGATTTTCAGAACAGACACATCAGACTAAATCAAATTTACTTCCTCCAAACACAATGTGAGCATTGGTGAGGTTAAGTGCTTGGACTGTATTAGCCTAGGCTAACTAATAAGATATGGAGTCAATGTTCTTGCATTGAGTTCTGAAAACAAGTTCAAAGTGGCTTTTTCAATCTATTGTAAGTAAAACAAACCTCCTCACCCTCCCATCTTCAGTGCCGTTGTCCTGTTAATTTTATCGAGTTCTATTTATTGTCTGTTAGTTATTTGTGAGGGCTCGCCTCGTATTTGAAGTCACATGGTCTGAGCAGTACTATTATGAAATTGGGTAGCAGCATCATTACTATGATTTTCTTTTGAATGAGTGCTATCAGAATTTCTTTACATTTCAATATGCTATAGAAATTTAGCTGGGGCCCGTGGTAACAAAATTGTCTATACTGTCTGGACTTTTTAATTTGAAGAAAGCTTCTATATTTGTACTTATTAAAAGTGACAAATTTGTCCTCTTTAAGATGCAATATTGTCCTCAACAGAATAGTACAAATTTTGTACGTTGTTTTTGGACAAAATTGCATCTTGAAAGATGCGCGTAAGAACGCATCCAGTCTGGAGACAAAATTGTACGTTGACCATGGACAAAATTGTTCCTTGACATTTAGTGTGTACGGACCGCCGATAAGTCTTAGGCGTCCCGCATGCTGCTGGAACTGCCTCTGTAGGGGGAGCACGGCGCCGGGCGCCGGGGCCTTTAGCAGGGTATGGGGGAGTTACACGGAATACTGTGGGGCTGTATAATAATTTGGGCTTCGAACAGAGTGTCTCAATTAGAGGCCTTGTGCCGCGGCGCTTGGTCGGTGACACACACACACAGTCAGGCCCTCATTATCTGCTGGCTGGACACGCCCGGGCCCGGCTGCTCGCGCGCTCAAGAGAAGTTGATTTAGTGCGGTGTAATTGTCACAATTGACGGATTAATTGAAAGCGAGAGCAGAGCTCCCGGGTCGGGTCGGGTTGGGTCGACGCGGTATTTGTCGGGGAAAAAAAATGTGAGAGCTTGTCTCTCTCAGTGTGACGCACACGCAAGCACGCGATACATATAGAGAGAGGGCAGCGGCGGGATGACAGAGTGGAAGCGCTGTCAAAATTGCTTTTGAGCGCAAAACGCGTGCTTTTGTGTCGCCCGGTTCCTTCTCTCTCTCTCTCTCTGTATTGAATGCTCTTCTTTCTCGCGCGCTCTGTCACTCGCTCGGGCTTGGCTTGCCCCCTTCTCAAGTAGAGGGTGCACCTGAGAGCGTTCATCCCCGGCCGGCCCCCTTCCCTCCGATACCAGTGGCGTGCGGACCCCTCAACCTTCACGAAGCAACCCTCACCCTGACTACTCCCCCCCTCCCCCCCC